TGAATACTTTCCGTACCCACTGTATATATATATATATATACACATATATAATATTTATTTATTTATCATTATTTGTTTATTTATTTATAATTATTTATTTATTATTATTTCTGATCATTTGTATTTTATGAAATATATTAATATTTGTTAATAGAAACAACAACAAGAATATGTATTATTATTATTATTATTATTATTATTATTATTATTATATGGTAAATGTCTAATGAATCCATTAATAATAATAATAAAATGGTTCTGACCCATTTACAATGCCTTCAAGTGGGCACCAGTCTACTTATTTAACTAATTATTTTTACAGATTGTATATAGTGGTTACATTTTTAAATATGTTAAACATAAACATTATGAATTATATATATATATATTCAATTCAAAATTGCTTTATTGGCATGACTGTAAATGATACAATATTGCCAAAGCTTAGTATGCTTGTACAAACAGATAAAAAATAATAATATAATAACAATAATAATAATTAAATGAACATCACAGTAATAGAATGGAATAGTATAACATCTTAGAAATATTAAACTGTAACAAATTATAATGTGTGAATATATTATATATGTCATTGTTATTATTTTATGAAATGTATTAATATTTGTTAATAATAACAATAATAAGCATCATCATCATCACCATCATAATACGGTAAATGTATAATTAATCCATTCTTCTCCTTCCTAATAACAATAATGATAATAATAATAATAATAATAATAATAATATTAATTCTGACCCATTTACAGTGCCTTCAAGTGAGAACCAGTCTACTAGTTTATCAAATTGTTAAATTGTACAGATTTTATATGATTAATATAATTTAAAATATTTATATTTATCATAATGTATTATTATTTTGTAGTTTATGAATGCATTATGTATTAATCATCATCATATGGTAAAGGTATATTGAATCCATTATTATTATTATTATTATTATTATTATTGTTGTTGTTGTTGTTGTTGTTGTTGTTGTTGTTGTTGTAATTATTATTATTATTATTATTATTATTATTATTATTTCTTTCAGGACCGACAGCTCATTCTACTTCATGGCGTTCTTCTTTGTGTTCATGGCACAACTTTTTATTGCTATAATTCAGGCCATTGGTATACCAGGATGGGGTGTTTGGTAAGATTATGCTATGATTTATTCTAAAAAATAAAAACCTTAATTAATACTCGAATATCAGGATGCAACATACATCTCTGTCTGTTGATGCTAGAGCTTGATGTGCTATTATTCATTATTCTCCATATCTTCTGGTCTGATCTCTGTGTTTCAGCGGCTGGTTGGGCACCATCTCCTTCTTTGGCACGAGTATCTTTGCCTCCATCATCATGTTAATCCCCACCCTCATGTTCACCGCAGTCGCTGCCATCTCATTTATCGTGCTCACGAAGGTACGGCCCTCTCTGACCTATTAAAGGCCTGGGTTTGCCTCATTGCCTGCGCAGTCGGCCTGTCTGCCTGCAGTTACAGCTGGTTTAGCTCACATGTCTATTGAAGACTGGAAGCCGGTTTGTTGTCTGGCGTCTGAAGTGTCATTAAATGTGATGCTGGAGCATGCCGTGCTTGTTAATTAGATGCAAGAGTAAATAAATCATTTACTTTAGGATTTGTGCCTGAAACGCCATTCAGAAGCTGGTAATAACTGTTAAAAATCCAGTGTTAGTTTAGCATCGAGATATTACACACACACATACATACTGTATATATCAGCCAATCTTACATATACCTGAAGATGTACCTGAAGTCCTACTTACAGTAAGTGGGTCAACAAACTCTCTTAACTTCAGTTAACTGCATTTAAAATGAATATAAAAATTCTAATACATTTCATTGTAAATAACATGCAGTTATGTGCCTGAAACATTCCGTTTGAACTTAATTATATTATTTTATTTCCATAATGAGTAGTCTATTTCAAAGAACTCTAAAGTCTTTTCACAAGGATTGTACATTGCTTGAACATTGCAGGTTCATAACTTCTACCGTGGCAGTGGCGGCAGCATGAGTAAAGCGCAGGAGGAGTGGGTGTCCGGCGCCTGGAAGAACCCTCAGGTCCAGCAGGCGGCTCTGGGTGCAGCGGCCGGAGCGGTGCAGGGCCCGCAGACGCCGCAGTACTCCACACAAAACTACGACAACACCATGTGAAACACAGCCAGAGCATCAGTCATCAACACACACACAGGCCGAGCCGCACACCCGCTGACCCTGAAGTGAGGTGGAACGAACCGACTGATGCTTGTTTGCTCCGTTTTTAATTTAAATGTTTGTGCTTTTGTTCATGTTTTTGTATCTATTTTAGCCTATTTGCTCCCTGCTAAGGAAAACATGTTCTAAGAACTTTCTGCTAACGTTCCCATTAAGTTCAGAATATATTTTCTGATCATTCAACACGACCATTTTTTAAAGGTTCTAAAAACTTTTTTTTTTTAAACATTTAATTTGATAATTTTTCAAACATTATGTGAACGTTACATTTGAATGTCCTCAAAACAAGTTAAATGTCAAATTAAAATGTCTTAGAAATAAAACATTCCAATGAATAACGCATAAATAACATTTTTGTGCTAATGTTTTGAGAACATTATTAAAGTCCAGATAACATTGAATGAACATTGTTTTAATGTTACTGGAAGAACGTTTGTTCATAACTTTGAGAGAACATTAGCTAGAGTTCTGAGAATGTTCCCTGTGTGCTGGGTTGCTGTTATGTGACTGTATTAAATTATAAATGAGTTTAAGTACATTAAAATGAGTAATCAGGGTTCCCATGATCTAGGAAAAGCTGGAAATATCCGGTTTTTAAAAAAATATTTTTTTTATGTGTTTTGTAGTCATGTGAATTAATACAATATTTAATACATCATGGAAATTCCTAAAGTGAATATTAATATTCCTAAAATATGAATTCAGTTAGAAATTGTCTATGAAATGAAAAAGCTAGTATAGTAAAAATTGTTATCCTTTAATTACAAACGACTAACTGCATTTTTGTTCTGAATATGTATTTTTCTAGTTATTCTATTAAATTATTTGATCTTTTAGAATCTGCTCAAGTGAGAGCAATCTCTATGAAGTAACTTCTAGCAATATTTTAGTATGCATGAACCACTAGAAGATTGCTCTAGTAATCAGGGGGTGTAAAAACTAAAAACGGGGGAAAAAAAGTTTGTTTTTGAAAATGATAACCATAATAAAGCATTTTTGCGGATCCGTGTGAACAGGGTCGTCTGTACTTTTCAAAAATGCAAAGGAAAATTTTTTCTGTTTTTAGTACGTCGTTGTTGCGTAACCGGACCCTTAGACATGTTTTATTTGAGATATGTGTATGTGTAGAAAATATTTAGTATGAGGGGCCTCTTTGTTTTTTTTCTGGTCACTTAAACGTGGTTTGTAAGAGAAATTCCCTGAAGAATGCAGATGAAGCAGTCCTGTTTGAAATGCAGTTCTTTCATATACCTGCATGTGAAAAGGGAGTTTAATTCAACTTCTCTTTGACATTCAGACATTTGTTTTCCATGTGTTACTGATTCATGACTTGAATTTAAATAAAGCACCAACATCTAAAATCATCAAATGCATCAGCTAAACCTGTTTGTTCTTTGGGCTTCATATATAAAGCGTGTTTGTCCAGCAGGGTGCAGTCTTGCTCTATGCTTATCACCATTCCCTCTCTTTGCAGACGGATTCCTCAGACACACATCACCCAACAGACTTGCAGACTGCAATTGAACAACAGCACTACTTTGTCAGGCTAATAGCTTGGTTCTCAGTTAGATGCAAATGTGGACATCCGTCGAGCATGTGTCTGCGCCCAGATTAGATTGCTGAAGACAATACATGGATTTGTCTCATGCTCTCTTTCTTTCTCATCATTTGTATCGCTCTGCGCAGAGCAATGATGGAATCGTTCACATTAGAGTTTGAAGCATCCCAGAAGACAACAGCACTATGCCATAAACACCACCGACGTCCTCTGCTTCAGCGGGAACACACTCGACTTGCACTAACACAGAGGCGACGTAATAAAACTCAAGAGATCGCATTATGAAGATGAGCATATTTCCCAGCTTAAATCAAATTGTTTTATGAAGTATAACCAATAAAGTCAGCACCATCACAGTGAAACATATGTTCCTTATATCAGTGAATACTGACTATTATTTCATCTCAAACCCGGGCTCTGCTCAAATTGGCTTGTAAAGGTACATTATATTACTGACAGCAAAGATCAACCGGTAAATGACACTAGCAAGGTCAAGGTCATGGATTGGATTGCCAAAGAAAAAAACATATAATAATAAACATAAACCTTGATGTCACTTTTGATGTCAATTTTACAGCTCTGTAAATAACAAACTAGTGCATTTATAACCTTATAGTTGCCTAACAGCATAAGTTCTCTACAGTGAACATGGCCATAAAAGAACTGATGTAACACTATTTCTAATAAGATATTGAACTTATCAGTTTTAGCTGTATTGCAACTCAGTAGGCGGTATTTTCTCTGTAAGTGAACATAAATAATGGTGGAAATTCATGTAGAGTGCAGATGAGAGATTACAGTTGTAACAGGGCTAGCTGTTACTAGTTTTTTTTTTTCATACTCTCCACTAGGGGGGGATGGAAAGCTTAAATCCCAAGTAATTTAACCAGGTAGGAGAGTAGAAGAAGTTATATTTGTTTGGAAGAGGGAAGCATGGTATTGTCCTCGCACCTCTGCACATTTCATTGGAGTCCTGATTGAGAAACTCTGTTTCCTGTTCAATCTTGTGTAAGTTTTGTTTCTCCTCATGTGCATTTGATCTTGATTTTTTTTTTTTACTTGATCTGCATACTTTAAGTGTGGGCTTTCTAGTTAATGCTAGGTTCTTGTTTATTTGTAGATGGACTTTTTAAATATTACTTTGTATCTGGTGTTGAGTCTACATGAGTTGCAAAGGCTCTACTTTCATGGATGTCAAGAAGACTCTTCTCAATGGATTGTTTGCGCTGTATTGCTTGTGGATTATCATATATCCTGAGTACAAGGACTTGACTCTGTGGGCCTTTTTTTGTTGGGATTACTTGAAGAGCACTTTAAGGACTTATTGCTATTTTTGTGTAGGGGTTTCTTTTTCCACTCATCATCAATGGGACTGTATTTGGGGATGTGAACATTTACTGGAACACACTGAAGATTCCTTGTAGTTACCATCCTTTCTTTGTTGTATTAATTCACATTATTCTGTAAACCATCTGTGGGTTTGATGTGAGGTACTGCATTGGTTTTCTATCAATTCATTCTCTTTCTTGTATGAAACTCTATATCATTTATAAAAGGTATAACAACTTAAACTCAGTCGTTGTAGTTCGTGACAACGCACTGGGAGGTACACTAAGATTTTTCTAAGCAGTGTGAAATTGGTAGTTGGTGGGTCCCTCCTGATTTTCACGTATATAGCTACGTGCCTCTGTAGTGGATGGTGGTTATACAGTAAGATTAGGGTTTATCTCTGAATATCCTTTACTCCATGATACTCACCGCGCAAAACATCTGCACTTCTGTTGCCTCTATTAGAAGCAAATTAAGTAATTCTGAACAGCATTCAAGTTAAGTCAGTGTCTGACGAGTCTTACATGACGGGATCCTGCTGATCTGCCTTGTGCGATGATGACAAAGGACAACACCTATAACGATACTACCCACCTTATTTTTCAACGTGGAAGTAAGCTGTTTTCTGTGAATGTGTGAGACTTCTGTATCATTAGCGCTGTAGGGGAATAACAAGGAGAGTAACAGTGCAGTAAACCATTAAACTGTTTGCACTACAAACCAGTGTGTTTATAATTAAGATAATACATTAAAACAATATGGTAAGACACACCAGTTTGCAATATCAAGCAGCAAAACGAGCTCTTTTGTACAGCTAACGATAGCTGGAAGTGAATGACACATTAAATGTAATTTTACAAATGGCCACATCCGCTCTTACAGGAAAATAAGGTGGTTAAAAATTCACATCTCTGCCCCTTTAAAGCAGGGGCGGATCTAGAAAATTATTTTTAGGGTGGCAAGGGGGTGGCATGAGGACTGTGAGGGGTGGCAACACCAAAGCAAACAAGCATTCAATCACCTATACAGTGTGTGTGTGTGTGTGTGTGGACTTCTATTCAGCATTTTATGAATTCATATACTCTGCTAATGAAATATGCGATTTCTGATGCAGCCACACGTGTACGGCCATCGTTCTGAAACTAATTACAACAATATAGTTCAACTTCCACACATCATATTATAGCATAATGTATTGAGCAATTATTAAGTATATTAATACAATTATAATCAAGCTTTACATGTGCTTTAGTATGTTAGTCAACGCATCAAAATAAGTGACAAAAGATAATTAAAACATGATTTAAAATGTACTTTAAAATAAAACTTTAAAATGTGACATTACTAAAAAGAGTAGAATGTACTTAAGTGCGTTACAAAACAGTCATGAAAGTATCTCTCTTTAAGTCACTTAAGTGGCCTTTTATTTCATCAATATTATATTATCTTTTTTTAAATATACTTAAGATTTGAAGTATTCTACAAGTGCACATTCAATATGGTTTAGCACACTTGTTTTTCAAAAGAGTAGGTCCCAGGCTGATTCTCATTCCATCTCTGCCCATAAGTATTCATTCTTTGCCCAAAAATCCATAATTAACAAGCATAAGGGCTTATAGGTATCATTCATTATGGGACACAGTGCAGCACAGTGTATAGAATTTTATTGAAAAAAAAAAAAAGTGTTCTGGGCCTGAAGGCATGATAAAGTAATGGTGGCTGGGACATGACTTCATCTGTCTGTTTTTGGTAAGTGTGAGACAACAGCTGGCTCTTCCAGAATGCTGCATTACACCCCAAAATCAACAGCCATTACTCAAAAGAACAGGGTTTCATTCTGGACCGGCCCAGTGGCCTTAACCTTACCAGTATTGTGATAAACACTATCAGGGAGAATTCAAGCACGGTGAATATGGTTTTAGGTCGTGATGGGGGTGCAGAGAGGTCGGATAAAGGAGGGAGAGGAGGAATAAAGTATTTGAAGGGGACCACAGAGGGAGTCAGTTCTCCAGCCCAGAGTCCAGCGAACAGAGCGGCTTTGTGTCCTCCAGCTCAAGGGTGAGAGAGCTTCATCCTTATGCGTTTCTCAAGCACACACACACACACACACACACACACACTGCAGACACACACAGTGTAGGAATGTCTGTGTTATGATGTCTAATGTCCTCCGTCTCTTTTACAGAATTCTCCTTCACTTTATGATCAACACGCTCTTGATCCTCACAATCACATGCTGCTTTAAATATCTGAGGAGCTTCTGACTTGTTTCGAGATATAATAAAGTCAAACTAAGAAACGTTTCATTGCAAATTCTGGGTCATGCTTTATTTGCACATGAATACATACAGAGGCCCAAAAAAGTATATGAACACTTAATCCACTCTTAAAATCTCATTGCAGCAAACCAAGCTGTGTGTGTGTGTGTGTGTAGATTTTTGTATGCACAAGTCTGACAACAGTCAGTGCTGCACACAGAGATCTGATCTCACCATCATCCAGTCCATCTGGACTGTTCTTTCTCATGAAGAAACAGGAAAAAAAACTCAGACTAAATCCAGAAGAACTGTGGCAACGTCTCAATAAATCTTCCTGCAAAGCTACCTGAAAAACTATGCACACATGTACCAAGGACAAAGGCTTTTTAATGCAAAGGGTGCTCACACCAAATGTTGATTTGAATGTTTGGAAATGTAAACAGCAAAAGAAAGAAATATGACTTAACTTTTTTTTGGTTTTTTTTGGTGAAAATACTAATGGCCTAAGACTTTTGCACAATAGTGCATGGAAGTATTACTCAATATTGTTCTGTAATTGAATTACAGTTACTTATGATGCAATTGCATTAAATACTGTATAGACTATAAAACAATTCTATATAAAAGAGTCATGAATTTAACACCAACATCTAACTTCTAGGCCCGGTTTCACATACAGGGCGTAGCTTAAGTCAGGACTCGGCTTTAGTTAAATTAGGATATTTAAGTAGCTTTTATAAAATAAATAAATAAATAAAAATCCTTAGAGAAATACATTACTGGTGTGCATCTTGAGACAAAACAATGGCACTGACATATTAAGATCCGTAATTGCAAGTTATTTTCAGTTAAGACAGTTCAAACATGCATTTTAGTCTGGGACTAACCTTAAGCCTTGTCTGTGAAGCCGGGCAAAAATGTACATTTTAAATGTAACCTTCTCCCTTTAAATACTTCGATCAGTTAAAGAATAATTAATGCACTTTTATTTTATTTAACTGAAATAATTAAAAGAGCAGCTTCACATCTATCCTTGCGAAGGTTGATATAGGATTTAGAAAATAATTAGTAAGAAGTAATAATGTAATGTAATACTGTTGAAGACGTAATTAATTGTATAATATAACACTATTTTATATACACACACACACACACACACACGTATACATAAACACATGGTGTGTGTTGTTGAAAGTTATTAAATAAAGATCCATGTTTTGAGGACAAACAATCAGTTTGTGCTTCGTAATCTTGCGTTACATCAGCTGTTGTCTGTCTCTTGTTGTCTACTTGTGTACAGCATTCATCACGTCCCTGCAAACAAACAGATAATGTAATCCAAACTTTATTTAAACTTTTAACCGATGCCTCTGGCTGATTTCTAGACGATGACTTAGTTTTTATTTAATGATGGGACTCATTGTTTATGAATGATAATCATGCCTGTAAGCTACTGATGCACTGCAACGCACTTTCACAACATGATGTGCTATTAAGCATCGTAGTTCTCTTGACCATCATGATGAAATTATCTTTATTTTATGTTTGGGTCCCAGAGATCCCAATGCTGTATGTGAGATAGATCGATAGATAGATCTTTGTGTTTCATTAATGCCTTATTCTACATCCCTAATCCTACCCAATACCTAAACTTAACAACTACCTTACTAACTATTAACAAGCAGCAGATTAGGAGTTTATTGAGGGAAAAGACGTAGTTAATAGTGAATAAGTGTTCCCTATTCTAAAGTGTTACCAAAATTTCAGCTGTAAAGCAGCTCTACAGAGGACATTAGTGTCATTATTCAGCTCAATTCAGTCCAATAACTTTGTTGCATGGTCTGAACTGAGCATTCATGGCCCGGTGGCCTCATGCCTTGGTAAAGGTCCTGTGAGATTTGGGATCGGCTCTCTTGAGCCATCGTGTCCCAAAATTGTCAATGTTTTAAACCCTAGCATCGTGGATTTAAAGCCTCATCAGGACTTAGAAGCTACTGATGAAGAACCTGTAAAATAAGCAACTCCGGAGCCGTTCCCAGTCATTTGTTCCAATTGTCTGAGAGTCTATAGACAAGCGTATCCCTGCGACAATTGTGCCCTCTGTTAGCAGCACCTCTGTAATGAGAATTTATTCCCCCATTGCTCCCTCCGTATGGCCTCCCTTGTTGCCTCAGGAACGGCCCATTTGCGAGTAACCGAGAATTGAGGCTGTGGAAAATGATCTTCACCGAGGACAGTTGTGATAGTTGAATTATTTACCACGGCGCTCTGTCTTCCTCTTCACATCTAACAACAGTTCAAGATAATCTCCCACTGAGTCCGAGTTGTTAATCATTTGATTTAATGGCGGAGAACGGCTCTAGTCTGGAGATAAATCACAGCGACATCCAGACCACTGCGTCGTGTGAGAACAGAACAAGCAAACTCGTGTTTGCTCACTACACAAACATCTCAGGTCGACTGCCTGCTCTTTAATTTTCTATTTACTTAATCATCATAAGTCATGCTCGATGAATATTGAACAGCAGATCAAACGCTTCATTGAATTTGTACATAAGCCATTGGACTTCTCTAGCTACGGATTTACGTCCACCCAAATAATCAGATTGATAAGCTTTCCCAGCTAACAAAAATGTGTTCCAAGAAAGTTTTTCTAACATTGCATTAAGTTAAGTTCCAAACGTTCAGTTTAACTGTTTTAAAAAAGGTGTATACTTGCTTATACAGACGCTAAAGGAACATGCAAAGATTATGAGAATGTTATTTTTTGGACATTCTGAAACAATTTTAAAAACCATTAGATGTCTGTTTCGGAAATATAATGTTCCATGGACGATGTATAAATAACGTTTTTATTCGAATGTTTTGAGAACATCATTAAAGACCAGATAACTCTGAACAAACGTTCTGTTAACATTACTGAAAGAACTTTTGCTCATAACTTTGAGAAAACCTCAAAGCCAAAGTTCTGGGAACATTCCCGGTTTGCTCGGTTCATGTAAACACCTGAATTAACTTTCAATCGGATTGAAAGGGTTGGTGTAAACCTGAAACAATCTGATCAACAAGATGAAAAACTAAGCAAGTAAATGCTTGAATCCAACTATTTTATCAATTGGATTCAAAAATACCCTGCACACGTGCAAATACCACAATGCATGTTACATATGTCTTACATTAGGGCCTTTCGCACCGCTTTAGTTCCAGAACTAAATGTACAGTACTAAAGTACTGGGACGATTTTGCGCGAACTATTTCCCAGCACCATTTAAAAGGTTGCATTTGCACCGAGAGTGTGTACTAAGAAGTGACGTAAGCCGGTCGACAGCGTCGTCATTTGTGCACGGCGTTCAACAACAGAAACAAAGAAGAACAACATTAACAACAGGAGGATGGAGGACGCTGTGATCGGAGCTGTTTTTGTTGTGTCTCGCGGGTTTCACAATAATGGACATGGAAAGTCGACGTATACGTAAAGCGATTGAAAGAACGGAAAGGAGGACTAAGAATCTCCAACGACAACTGGCAGTGCTACATTTGCTACAAGTGCCTGCACTTCAGCGTCCGTCCATCTATCGCTGTTCTCCATACTTGCGAAATAAGTTGACACAATGTTTACACGGCGTTTTAAATCATGGCGGGTGAGGGCGTTTTCGTACGCGTTTGGCCAATCAATGTCTACTTACGTCACGATTAGTACCAGTTGTGCTGGTTAGACCCTGCTCCGGAGTAGGAGCTAATTTGGTTCTCGAAAAAGGCAGTCCGGTACTAAAATCGCACCCAGTTCCAGCGGTGCGAAAACGCCAAAAAGTGGGTAGTTCCACAATTAGTTCTGGTACTATGAAAAGGTTCCCGCGGTGCGAAAGGCCCTATTATGAACCGGTCAGTGTAGGCGACCTAAATATTTGTTATATAAGCTCAAGCTAAAATGGCATTTATGCTCTGGTGAAATTATTGCAGTGGCTTTCTTCGTTTCTGAATTGTATGAGTCATAACGAGCTTCATAATGCGAATAACTTAATTGAAGAACTGTTACATGTTGTTGCGTCACTCGAGTGTTTGACTCCATCTGCCCTCAAACAAGAAATATGAAAGTATTTTCCATTGTCTTTCTTGAAATGTTCCATATTCCAACCGAAAATACCATCTTGTTAGTCTGAGCTGGTTTTCAGACAGTCTGTCCAAGCTAGTTTAGATGGTCAGCCAACTGGTCTTCAAGCCCGAACAGGTGATAAGGTTAAATCCTCTCTAAAACCACCAAACTAGATCAGCCTGAGTAGTTTAAATCAGTCTGGTAATAATGCCAGAATGCCAGAAAAAACAGCCGGTTGATGCTGGTTTGCTGGTCTAAGCTGAAATGCCAGATTCTTATGATTCATATTCGCCCTTCTAATCTTCTAGCCTGGCATTTATCTCTCTCTCTCTCTCTCTCTATTCGCTGTCATCTTTGCTCTCTTCTCGTTGAGGGCTTGCAGACCTCATGACCGTTCTCTCAGTGAAGGAAATCTGGGCGGTCAGCTCGCGCATGTGTTTACTCTAAAACCGAAGCACACGTATTACTTGGCGCTCGGCTGAAAATGGCTCCTCGTTCTGTTTTTAATCTGATGTCATCTTAGTGGAATTCACTAATAGGTCTCTGACTCGGTCTTAGCCCTCTTATTTGGCGACATTTGAAAACACACAAGCATGTAGTCTATAAACTGCACAGTTCTCACTTTTTCACAACAGTGAGAAACCCAAAATGTAGTCAACATTAAAAAAACAGTATTTATGCTAAATAGTACACAGCCAATACTAAATAGCCAGAAAGTACAATGGCTGATTTGAAAAGCAGACAAAAACTACAATAATAATATATAGTACATATTTATTTATGCATGCATTTATGCATTTTATTTATTTATACATGCATGGATTCATTCTTATTTATATACCCAAAAAGGGTATCAGCTGGTAAAAAAAAATATATATTTTGTTGCTTAGCCTTCATCTCATAGTGT